TGTGGGGGGGGGTGTGATGAGTGGGGGGGGGGGGTCATGCCCTTGTCACACAGAGCCGCAAGGTTTTAGGGTCCTTCAATCCCTTAGTGAGTCGCAAAGCACTTCATGAAATAATATACTCTGTCGCTTATGTTCTTTCTTCTTCCTGTCGTGCCGTAAACGCAACCCTTCGCCACATGGAGCAAGGCCCCTTTTCCCAAGTGCTGGGCCCCGGGGGCCCCGTAGACACCTTTTCTCTGCAATGAGGAGGCAATACAATGGAGAGCCGGAGCCCAGTTTGGTACAGTACAAACAGAGAGCTCAAGCAGGGCCCGGAGAAAATGAAAGGCCTTTGTCCGCCTTTGTCAGGACACGGAGAAAGCGGGAGAGCGAGCGCTTGTGGATCAAATGAGACAAAAGAGAAACAGATCGAGAGAGGAAGGAGACAGCGAGCTTATGGATCACATGACTCGCCGAGCATTGTGATCCGGAGTGAGGAGCATCTCTCCCATCTGGCCAGAAACGAGAGAAACAGAAAAGGAAATGCGGAGAGAGAGAGCGACAGAGAGAAAGAGAAAGTATTGAGTAAGTGCCAGCGACATCTGCTCCCGTGTGGGCACAACAATATCACTCCGGCTAGATCAACCTCGTCACTTTCAAAGGCAGAGATCCACGTCGGCTTTGCTCCGCGATCTTCGGAACAGTTTTCGGTTCACGTTGGGAGTAAAAACGTTCGATTCATTAAGCTTCTGGAGTTTATCTCCAGGTACTTTGGTGGGTATTACTTGACGATGACGGTCGTAGGGGTTAGCGGTAAGCTCATCCGGCTCATAATTAAGAGATCCAGGTCCAGTCCAGGGCTGGACCTGGATCGGTTCCGGTTTACCGACGACCCCAAGGAGGAGTAGCACGAGGTACAATGGCAGTCAAAACGTTTTATTCGCTAAGTAAGCTTCTCATGCCAACACGATCGGAGCTTATCTCCAGGTACTTTGGTGGGTGTTACTTGGCCTGACGGTGACGGTCGTAGGGGTGGCGGTAAGCTCATCCGCCTCATAATCAAGAAATCCAGGTCCAGACCAGTGCTGGACCTGGATCGGCTCCGGTTTACCCACGACCCCAAGGAGGATTAGCACGAGGAACAATGGGAGTCTAAACATTCTATTCACTTAGTTTCTCATGCCGACACGATCGGAGCTTATCTCCAGGTACTTTGGTGTTACTTGGCCTGACGATGACGATCGTCAAGGTTAGCGTAAGCTCATCCGCCTCATAATCAAGAGATCCAGGTCCAGTCCAAGTGCGGACCTGGATCGGTTCCGGTTTACCCACGACCCCAAGGAGGAGTAGCACGAAGGACAATTGGATGGATGGACAATGGATCAAAGTGTGGAAATGGTTTTCTGTCCAACTTACAGTCCAGGGCAGGGGTAGGCAACTCCGGTTCCTCGAGGGCCATATCCTGATTCAAACGATCAGCTCATCAGCAAGCTCTGTGGAGGCTTGAACAATCGAATCAGGTGCGTTGGAGTAGGGAAGGACCTACAACAGGCAGGATATGGCTCTCGAGGAACTGAAGTTCCCTCGCCCTGGTCCAGGGTATAGCCCGCCTTTCGTACGAAGGAATCTCCGGGCCTTGATTCAGTTCTTTCTTTGACATTTTGATTCCAAGTAGTTGAAGGCAACTTCGTGCTAAAATTACATTTTCTCACGCAAAGTCCCCGCGATTCTCAAATTGTCCCATGGATCCAGTTTTTTTTTAGCAAAAATACATTTGCATTGATGGGAGTTGGGCTCCAACACCTCCAATTTGTTTCCTCGACGTAAAATGTCATTAATGCCACACTCGGTTATTCACATGATCTTCTCTTGGAAAACACTGAGGAGTGTTGTACTGTATTGTTCGAAGCAGCTCACAAGCCCCGCCTCTTGTTATGCAGTCCCTCTCGTCATCATGTTACATTCATATCAGAACAACTGGCAAAAAAAAAAACGTGTGGCTCTGATATGGTGCCATATATATCATGAACATTTTTACAAAAGCAAAAAATAGAGACACGACTGTATCGCCGCTGTATCTAACAAATGGCAAAGGACCGTTTTTTTTTTTTGTTTTTTTTTTTTTTGATTTGGTAAAGGGACACTTGACTAGGACAAGGCCCTTTTCCATTCCAATTGACGTTTGAAAAGTTGGAAGGGAACGCTTGTGAAGTACCTGCATGTAAAACTGGGAAAAAAAAACAACCAAACTTTAATCAAACGGCTGGCGATCCGAACAGATTCTGAGCGAGCGTAGACAAGCTAATCTGTGTTGTTGAGGGACTGCGCCGTGCCCTCCGACGCCATTTATCTCTTCGAAGAACCCCCCCACCCCAGCTCCACACCCAACCCTCCACGTTGAATACTCAGTCAAAGTGGAGAGGGCGAAAATCTTCCCTCCTAATTTTGCATGTCATCTCCCTCCAAAATGCTTCAAAGCCGAGACCCCTTTGCCAAAAGATTTTCCTCCCGCCCCTTCTTCCCCTTTGCCGCGTTTCCTCGCTCCCGGACTCGCCGTCGTCACAGCCGCCGCTCGGCGCCAGGAAATCGCTTCTAAACAGGAGCGCGCGCTCGCGACGCGGCGAAGAAGGCTCGAGAGTTTTACTTTCAGATGTCATTCCAATAGCGGCGCATCTGCGACGCGCCGTGCATCTGCTCGCCTCGGTGCCGAGCGCTGATTGAAACGAGGACAGAAAACATCCTCATTATCGCGGGCGACGAGCGAGATGCCCCCCCCCCCACCCCCCCCCCCCCCCCCCCCCACCAAACAGCCCTTTTAATACAATCGCTCACTTAACTGCAGCCTGCTTTTGGCGCACCGCGCCGCTGCCAATCAGTCTGGTGTCACTGACAATAGTGGGGGCCATTGTTTCAACGTCCTTTCATACAACGCTTCATTTGTACTTTGGTCCAAAACTGACGATTTATCACCAGATTTGCTTGTACTGATTACAAGTTGAAATTTTTCATCAGGAAATTGCAGAAAAGTGAACTCACACATATAGCGGACTTTTAATTTTTTTTTTTTTTTTATGACAAAATGTACCCGCGGGGGCAAACGCTAGCAGGGATACCCCAAAAAACCCCCACAACAGTGTACAACTGAACTTCATGATGATGAAGTCATCGTGGGTCAAACGCAGCGAACCGAAAAACTGCAGTTCTTGAGGTGGTCTGTCGGGGGAGACTCCACTTAACCGGCCTCCGAAAGTCAACTCAATAGTTCGGCACCAGTGTTGACGGTCATTGATCAGTCGGCTTGCTCTTATCACAACTTGTCCACTACCTCGGACCGGAAGCCGCTAGCGTTTAATGGGCCTCTCTGATCCGCCGCGAATTGTCGTTGTTATTCCATCGGGATTTTTGATTTTATTTTTTTCCGAATGACTCACAAAAGTACAACACCGCTTATTATGTCGACGTCGGGGATAATTTCCGAGCAACGGGCACCGAGAGGAGTATGAATGGATTCGAATAAGAAAAAAAAAAGTGGTGGGGGGGAGGGATGGCCAGCTGACTTTCATTTCGTGTGTTTTTGCGCCATTAGCAGGCAGGGGTCAGCGGGGGTGAGGTCGTTCACCACGTTTAATAGCCACAGAATGGACTGTGGACGTAGTAATAGACTGATAACAAACAGAGGGTTGGGGAAGTGGGAGGTGGGGAGGGGAGGGGCAAGGTAGAACTTTGTAGGTGCAGTCAGATTTTAGATACGTTTTGGAATACTTTTGACCTATTCCAAAAGTGGCGATTATTTCCCGATTTTCTCTCTCTCTCATTACTCGAAAAAAAACTTTATGCGGACCAGACAAACAGCGCCACACGCAAATTAGGCCTCACCTTATTGCCTTTAAAAAGAGAACCCACCCGCACATCAAGAAAGAGTTTTTCTTTCTAATGATACACAATTCAAATGTTTTTATGTAAATATTGTTCTAATTACATGACAAGTGAGGGAAGTGAGTCCCCCCGGTAAGGCAAAAGATAACATTAGGTAAAAGACAAGAAGAGAATGTGAACTTCTTCTGGGGCTAAATGATGAGATGGTGTGTGTGTGCGCGCGTGTGTGTGTGTGTGTGTGTGTGTGTGTGTGTGTGTGTGTGTCGGTGGTCTAATGACGGCGCTGTCTGCAGAGAGCGGAACACAGGAGGGAATTAGTCGTCATTGCATATCAAAGGCTGAGCCATGAGGGATTCGTGGTAGGGTCTTCCTAATGAGAGAGGAGGGGGGGTGTGGGGGGTACCGGTGTGTGTTTTGTTTGCTTAGGTCACGTCCTAATCACAATCGGACGCACCTTCACGACGACCCCTCTTTCCACGTCGGTGTGTTTTCCGCATTTATGAGTCGGGCAGACGCCCCCGTTTGCTCGCGTGAGGTTCCAGACCCCACCCCCCCTGATATTTACGTACATTTGGATATATCGTTCGGACACGTTGAAAATCATGAAATGTCCTTACCTCCTGTTTCTCCTGAGCTGACGTGCTAGCTTGGGCCTCGGCAGCTTTTCCGGAACTCGTTTGGAATATCCAGCTCTGAAAAAAAAAAAAAAAAAGAAAAAAAAAGACCATTCGTCATTTGCTAACAGCTAAGCACAAGATTAGCAAACAGCATTTGGCGATTGGGAAGCAAATGAGCAAATATTTTTGCTCGGCAGGGATGTCGATCGCCGCTTTTTGATTTTTATTGGCTCGTAAATGACAAAAACCTTTCATATGACCGTAACACGACTCCAAATAAGTCATGCTACCAACGTAGCAGCGGCGCTTAGCAAATGTTAGCTTGATAACGCCATCGACAGTCGAACGAAAATTAGCATCGCGCAAACGCAGCGTACGACAATCTTGACATCGTCTCTTGTACTTTGGGGCGAACAACCATGACTGGTGCCACTAAATCCGAACGAGTGAAATTAACCGCATTGTACTTTTCCGTCCCTGAAAAGGTGAGCCCCGATTTGCCGCATGGATGCGTCAAAAAGAGCGCCCGCGTCGACAAAATTAGAGTCTGCCAGCGCTGCCAGGACACTCTGGGCAGGCCTCGGCGTGGGCAGAGGCGCCGGCGAGAATCCCGCGGCTTTTGTGCGACGCACGAGATCAACGCCAGCGTGCCGCGCGCCCACCTCCACATCTCCCGTCACTCCCTCACCTCGCGTACCAATTATATCTCCCGATAACGCGCCTTTGTGCGGTCGCGGGGAGCCATTGGCGATGCCCTCTGTGCCATCTGCAGCGCCAACGCCTCCCCCCGCCGCCCCCTCTCAACCTCCTACCCGTCCCACTCATCACGAGGGTGGGCTTAACCATCTGTGTGCCAGTGTGTTCCCACAGCGAGGAAACAAAAAAGGGAAAGGGGGTGGGGGGGACACTTTTGGAAGGGGCGACAATACAACAAATCCACTTTCGCGGCACTAAGTTGAGTTTCATCACATATTGAAAAGATTAGCTTGTAGCGTGTAGCACGGGTAAACGCTACGAGGTGATGTTTTTATTTTTTTTAACTACTTTTTTGGTCGGGAATCACCCCCATAAGAGTCTACTCGATGTTATGTCGCCACATATGAAACACGAGGCCGAAACACGAGTCACGTCAGGAAAAAAAAAAATCCACAAAGAGATTTTTATAAGGCAGGTCGGACCGCATTGCGTTCCGGACTCTCCGTGCTCAAATGACTTTATTAAGTCATGAAAAGACGACATTTTCGGGATGTTACGTTTCTTCATTTTTCTTTGAAAATTCTCCGAAATTCTCAAAAGAGGATTTCTTAGGAGCACACCGAAGTCAAGATCTAGTTGACTGCCCCTTTTTGATGTTTTTTTATAATTTTTTTTCTTCCCCATCATGTGAATAATTAGACACAGATAAAACGTTCGACATCAAATGATAATGATTCAATCAGGGGGAATTCTTTCACCCAAATTCATCCACCCTGTAACCTGATAACACGGTAAGATGTCCACTGGAGTAACCGCCGTCCCCGAAGGGGGTTTATTCAGATTCGATCGAAAATCAAACATTCTTCTGCAGGTTCCGCCACTTGATTGCATTTGTGTGACTTCACGCTGCGTCGCTTTTATTCCGACCCTAGAAATCATCGGCCATTTAAAAAAAAAAGAAAAAAAAAAA